GGGCCCAGTCGAACCGGGTTGTTCATGTGTAGGGACCGGGGTACATTAGCCCCCCAGTTGTTGAGTTGTGGCGATCGAGCGTCGCGAATTTGCTGCCAATCGTTGCCTACAGCCCCGAGAGTGGGACTGTTTATCGAAAACGGCGACTGTCGGCTGCCAGGACGTGCACCAGGCGGATTGCTAGCGCCTGGTTCGGCGGTGGGGGATTGTCCTTGACGACCACTGGTGGTGGTCGTCCTGCCTCGCGATGTGTCGCGAGGAGGTACCGTCGAGGTTGACGGGCCAGCCGCGGGGGCGCGTACTCTCGATGTTTGTCGAGAGTGTACCGCGCCTGACGTGGCACGGTCTAGGGGGTTGTGATGAGGGGAAGAAGGGCGCGTCTGACGCCCTTCGGTGTTGGGGTTCTGTGACTGGTCCATGGTTGCTTTATTGGGCGATATCGGGCGGTTTAAGGTTAGAGTTCAGTAGTGACGTGGGACACGTCGAGCCCCAAATCGGGCGAATATCACGGGGAGAGTAAAAAAGTGTAAAACTCACGTATGGGGGGGCGCAATCTGTAGCCCCTTTCCCGCAAGTACTCTGGTCCGGGCTCTATTGAGGCTCGGCGTACTCGTAGGATAGTGGGGCAGGTAGAAAGGCTGCCCGCACTAGGCGCGCGGGTTCCGAATACCCGCACGCCGCACGCGTCTATTTAATACATCATTATCTTATCTCTGCCCAGCGCGTACGGCGCTGGGCTCGTGGATGTACGATGCCCGTAACGACCCGATCCTGGGTCGTTACAAGAGACCATTGGGTCCGCGCACTGACTAGGGAATGGCAGGGATACATCCGGGGATACATTGGGCGGTATCCGTATCCGTATCCTTTGAATATCCTATCCCTGTATCCACGGATTATAGGGTTAAGGTTACCCCATCCCGGGATTCAGAATCCACGGATTTTATATCCTTCAGACAGATATCCTTGATCCCGGGGATAAAAAAAGCGATTGACACCACAATGTAAATTGAATGATGCAGAGCACTATACTAGGTCTGGTACATCTGAACAATCCAGTTCTATCATGTCTACAGGGTCAACAAAGTCAAGGAACCATTCCTACAAAGGCCATGTGAGATACATAGCAGTGGGGCCGCCAGGTGTGAGCTACCGGACTTGAAGATGCTTACCGGATAGATTGCCCGAGCCCATCGAGAGAGCCCATGCAGCAGGCAAGTGTGATCGAGTGGTTCACGTGCCAGAAATAATGTGCGATCCGTGACGGCGAGAGAGACCACGCGCGCAATATAGGAGGCGCAGGCTTCCGAGTCGGGTGCCTCTTGAGCGAAGAACTCGTACATCCGAATGAGATCAACGATGAGTGCGCGCTGATATGCGGACATGTGCGCGAGGGCGCCCGATGTGTCGTGTTGATAGTGCTGCGCGAGTGCTTTGAGTCCTCGCGCCGGCGGGAGGAATTGTACCATGCTTGGGAGTCTGATCTTGGGGCAAGTAAGACGCGAGATAGAACAGTGCTGTGTCGGTGCAACATCCGAAGCAGCTGAGAAAATGTGACGCACCCAAGTACTCTCCAGCGCGACATCATCCAGCACTCGCAGCCCTAGACACTGCATTACTACTCCATTCGGACCGGTCCAGCCATCAACGATGAGCTCCATACGGACGTTGGGAGAGCCGACAGAGGAAAGCGCCATGGTGTGGGTAGAGAGCTCCGAGCGAAGAGCAGTCGAGCGGCAGATGAAGGTAAGAGGGTGACTTCGAGTCATCGTGCAGTGAAGATTTCACTATAACCGCGGCCGTCGAAAGCACGGTGCTCTCAATGTCCATTAGAAAGAACCGGCGGGCGTCGCATTCACTATATGCACTAGCTCTCATTGATTCACAAGAGCAGATACACAGGGTACATGTATGGAATAGGACAACGAGAGACTGGCAAGATATATGGTGCAGAACTACATGAGCGGATGGCCACAGCCTGACGTTCGCGTATGGCACGCGCGGATGCGCACGCATGCTATGCCAGGGAACGGGACAGCAAGGGGACGTGGACGACGAGGGAACGAGCATACGAGGGCGGGCGGGACATGCGGGACACGGAAAGGGACACAAGGACAGCAGGCCGCAACGGGCGGCGCGACATACAACGGCAGCGCGACATACAACGGTGGTGGGACTATGCGAGAGAGACGGTGGACTCGAGAGCTATCTACGTGGACTCGAGGACTGCGCCGATACGATCCCAGCCCGTGGTCATCTCATAGTCATCACCGACACCTTGACCCTCCTCAACCTCCGCAAAGTTGGCAACCGCGCGGATGTCGTGTGTGCGAACCAGGTCCCACCGGACCCAGTCACCCAAGCACATAACCGCGCGAGTGCTCTGCGCACTGAGCCGGTTGCGGACGTGGCTGAGGAGGAGCCGGCCGCGGCTGAACGTCCTCTCGACGTCCACGGAAGTAGCTAATATAAGGGACGGTGGTCAGTAAGCGGACGGGGGACATGTGCACGGAGATGCAGGGCTCGACGTACCTGGGATCGACAGGTAATCAAGGGCCATGCGAGCGAGAGTGGGATAGAGGTGAGCGCGCTCTGTCCACCACGAAAGCGCATCCTTCACAGGCTCGGGAGGGGCGGCAAGGTATCGTGTAAGCTCATCTTCAGCCTGGTTGGAACCGGCCGCAGTCAGCGATGGCAGATAATCGAACATGTTGGCACCCTAGAGTAGCGATGAGGTCAGCGAGCGTCCACCGTATCCTGGGGGTAGGACATACCTTGGGGATGCTGCCACCAGGCGCACTGGGCACCTGCGCGTCCTCGAGATCGCCACCGTCCTCTTCTTCTTGTGTTGCCGTGCCAGTGTCGGCCCCAGGCGCGTAGAACTTGTCGTACTCTTCGCGGGCCATCGCCTTCGCGTTCGTTATCCACATTGAGGGCCAACGGGCATCCTCGAAGTACCGTAGTTTGTGACCAGGGTGCAGAACTGACAGATAAATTTAGTAGACGAGCATACAGCAGCGGACGGGGTACTTACTCATGGCAATCCTATAAGTCGCCGACAAGTCACTGATCTTGTAGTACCGGTTCAGCGTCTTCTTCGCCAACCGGAGTGCCGACGAGATGGGGTCGCTGAGGGAGCTTCCAGGGCGGGTGTAGTTGGTGAGGGTGTTGTCGATGTGATCCATTGCTGGGATCACCATTGCGAGGTTGGGGGTGTCCCGGGAGAAGAATAGAGTCGCCTCTTTGAAGATCTAGGACGTGTCGGGGACGAACAAGACATCAGAGAGCACAGAGGGCCAGGTACGAGGCCATAGAGGACGGGGTGGGCAGCCAGAATGGTGAGCGCAAGGTGGATGGCGGCCACGAGTGCGGGGACGTGGTGGGGAGTGGTGCGCGAGGGACAAGGGATGAGGGCACGATGGGGAGGCAGCAGGGCGCAGGGCACGGGAGAAGGAGAGGGCGTCAGCGTTTACTCGACGGAAACCTGACCTTAATCTCCCAACGGGCTTGTCGGGCTTTTGAGCCCCGATGTGGCTGCCATCACCCGCCACACCTCATTTCGTCGCCCGACGCGCGCTTAACCGCGCCCCTCGCGCGCGCCCCCCGCGCGGGCTCGCGCACCCTCGCAATCGCATCGCAATCGCGTCGCGCGCGAGCGCTTCACCTCGACCTGTACTGAACGCCTGGGTAGATAGTAGCACGTGACTGTATCAGTATCCGATGAGCACAATATTATACCGTTGATACTCACCTCTGCATACACCACCGGCCTGCTCACCATGGATAGCTTCCGATGCCGGAACTGCCATGTCGAGAAGCCCATCGGCTCGTTCCCTCCCCGTGAACGGACTACCCAAAGCGGCAAGGCGGGCGAGCCGAGCAGCACCTGCCGACAATGCACTGATCAGCAAAAAGCCGCCCGCGCAGAGCGAAAACGGAAGGCTGATGAAGAGGCCGGGAAGGACGGGGAACGAAAGGGCCGGAAGGGGCAGGAGATGGGCGGAGGGGAGATCCATGATCTGGGCAAGACGTCAACTGCCGGTTTTCTTGAAGTACTAAAGGAGATGGACGCGCCGATGCATGTGCGCGCTCAGGTTGACGTTGCCGAGCTTGCGCCGATGAGTGCAGGAGAGCCGGGCAAAGACCGCGCGAACAAACTTGCTGCTGCCATGGGCGCCGTGCAGCTCCTTCACTGGACGTGAGTAACACATTCGACTTTGGTACCAAAAACTCACCTGCCGCATGTTGAAAGATTCGAGAGCTGCTCTAAACGCAAGCGATCCGGGGATCTAGTCGTGGCCTATAGCTGCGCGCAGTCCGAAGGCCGCGAGCACAAGCCTAAGACTCCGACGGGGAAGGCACGCGATAGCCGTCGCATGGATCGCTTCCCGTGTGACGGGTGGCTACATCTCACGGTTAGCAGCGCGTCCGATGAGATCTCGGTATCAATGAAGCATGCCGAGGACCATGTCGCATATACGGAGCTCGCGCTCCCGGAGAAATGGAAGGCGTACATTCGTGAGAATGCACGGAGGCAAACCCCGGGGCAGGTGCGTGCTTGCGTTTTAATGGTAGTATTTCGCGTTCCATTGACAATCGGAGCCTGTAGATCTGGAGTTATCTTCTCGCTGAGGAGGATGCCGAGGAGGACGACCTACCGTATGGTCCGAACGCCGTCTACTACTACTGGCATATCATCAGCCGAGAGGAGTGGCGGTTGGCGGACGACCCGCTCGCATCTGCCCGCAAGTTTGTTGAGGAAAGAGGTGAAAAGCACCACATCGCGTTGCTTGACGTCGAGGCGGCTCCCGGCACGGAGACATTGGCTTTCTATGTCACTGATTTTGTGGAGATGTGGGCAAAGCATACACAAGAGTTGGCGATGGATTCGACATGTGAGAGGTTGCGATGTTCCCACATTGAGCAAACCCTAATCCGCTTTAGGGAACACCAATGGCGGCAATTTCGAACTCTTTGCAGCCGTCGCCGACGCAGATGGCGCCGGTGTCCCACTGGCTTTCCTCTTCATCCGGACCACTAAAGATGCCGCTCCTGGCGCCAAGCAGGCGATCCTGGAACGCTTCTTGGGACACCTCAAAGCGTTTGATGTGGATCCGGAGTTCACGCTGACCGACAAGGACTGGTCGGAGATCAACGCGATGGCCGCAACCTGGCCCGATGCCAAGCAGCAGCTATGCTTTTGGCACGATGTACGTGCCGTCAAGCAGCGCCTTTGCAAGAACAAGGACACACCTGCGTTTTACGACTCCGTCGCGGCCAATCGCGAGTTCCCATTCATTGACATCAACTTTGTGCCGGCTGCGCAACGCGTTGCAGACGGCAAGGAGCCAGTACGTCAGATTCTTATCTTGTATAACCCTTGGGGCATGGCTTATGCCCATTTTCCCGGTATCTAGATCCCTGCTCCACCAGAACGTCCTCTCCCACGCATTCGTCTCACCGTCGGCGGCCGACCTCCCGTGCTTACGAAGGCTATCCCACCCATCGTTCTGAAGCCGACCGATATCACACGGGCGCTGCGTCCCAGAGAGACGTTTGATGTGCAGCATGCCAGTACGGGTGCAGCGCGGCCCTCTCACCTCGATTCCGAAGAAGATTCGAACCCGGAGCAGTCCAACAGCGATGCGAGCGACGAGGATACCCACTGGGCAGCTCAAGCAAAGCGTGGTGAGGTGTTGGAAGACGACGACAAACTCGGCTGGGAGGATCTGGACGGCACATCTGATTCAGGATCTGACGCGGAGCTCGATGAAGACGACTGCCGCCGCGAGGTCGACGCAATCGAGCGTGATGGGACGAACATTGATCTAAATGCCCCTCCTCTTCCCTCGGAGGCAGGTCCACGCTCGAGGTCTCCCACCTACTGCTTTTGTCCTGCCCCGCATCGTCTCCCCGTCATTCGCATCCATTCCAAGCAAGGCTGTCAGCACCCACTATTCCCAGAACGACACGGTGAGGCTCGGTCCAGCGAAGACATCTACCGTGATGCGGTCCAAGAGATGTATCTTCACTGCAAGGCGAACAACCTTGCCGAGGTCTGGGCCTATCTCTGGAATTCGTGGTACCGGCGCCCACGCTGGAAGCTCTGGGCTCGTTCGGCTAACGCAAAGAGCATCCCACGGAAGCGGACGACCATGATCGTTGAAGCATTGTGGCGCAACCTCAAGCGCCTCGTGCTTTACATGTACAATCGCCCACCCATCGATCTCACGCTCTACGCAGTCGTCACAAAGGCGCTGCCTCCGTACCGACGCACTCTCAAGGCGATCATCAGAAATCCTCGTCCCGGCCGGCCCGCAAAGCTCTCGCACTACCAGAAGGATTTCAAGCGTGCATGGGAGCGCCTGCGTCGAGTCCCCATTCGGGGTGAATACCAGACAGACATCTGCCGCTGGATATGCGATGGCGGCTCCCAGAAGTACCACGCACACCTACTCTGCAAGCATCTTGTTCAAGCAGTTGGCCCCGTCTCTGCGTACTGGTGGCCAAAGGTCGTCCGGTACCACATCCCGCCCTTCTTCACGGTCCCAATTGATGGCGTCACAGCTCCCCCTCCTGAACAAATCCGCGATCACGGCTGGATTCCACGCATGCGCGCCAAGCAGTCTGCAGTGCGCGTGAAACCACGCGCTCCCATCGTGCCTGCTGCCCCTCAATCCGAGGATTCTGATGTCGATATACCTGCCGCAGTGGATTTTCGATCATCCTCTCCGGTACGACCAGTCTATCAATCCTCAAAGTGAATACTGCTGACTCAAATTCTGCCCGCAGATCCTGTCCTCTCCTGACAAGCCGCCGCCAACTGGGCGTGATGGAATCCCCCGTACACGCGCGGGTGGAGGTGCCGGATATGATGTAAGCATGAAAGGACATTTTTATTGTTTATCACTTACATCTCTCATAGCTCGAGGACGAGGAAGACGTCGAAACAAACGAGCTCATCAACTGCTTGACCTCTGGAATCAAGATCTTGGAAGAGCAAGCCGAAGACCCCGATGCCCGGTTCCTCCGCAATGCCACCCAGTGCATGCACGGCACCATCAAATGGGTGTGCGAACTTCGCGAACGCGAACTTCCTTCGGACTTGAACACGATCAGTATCCCGGAAGTCACTGGTTTCCTCAAGGATGCGGTCAATCTGCTCGGAAAGTTGAATGCTCAGGGTGATACCGACCGCATTCGGAGCGCGAAGCACCGCACACGCGGGGCGGTCGAATGGGTGAGTGCTATAGAGTACGCCGAGTCCCGTCGGACCATGCCCAAGACAAATGTTCATCGCCGTGGTGCACCAAACCCCATCCTGACTTATGGCTACCGTTTCCGAAAGCGTAACAATTAACTCCAATATATTGCTTTAACATCTGTAATCTGACATCATAGACTTGAAAGCCATGGGTCCGTATGGGTCCCTACAGGCAGGCACACCTACACGCAAGAACGGTCGCACCGAAGCGCCCGCGCGCGATGCGATCGCGAGGGTGCGCGCGAGGGTGCACGAGGCGGCGCGGGGGGCGCGCGCGAGGGGCGCGGTTAAGCGCGCGTCGGGCGACGAAATGAGGTGTGGCGGGTGATGGCAGCCACATCGGGGCGTCAAAAGCCCGACAAG